CCACACAAAAAATTGTATCACATGTAAATCTTTCTATAAAAATAATATTAAACGATTGTATTTATAGGAAAAAATATAGCTTTGGAATATGAAGATTAACTTACAAAGTTGAAAGGTCAAGTGTTACAAAAATTAAAAACAAATATTAATTAAGGACATAAATTAATCTAGAAGATAAACCATATACATATATCTATTTAAAGGGTAAATATTTAAAGAAGATAAATTAAATTAGATATTTTAATTAAGAATTAATCTAAAGAAGTGCAAAAGTCATTAAAATTTCTATTAAAATAATATAATTAAATATTTAAATTAAATAATTAAATATTTTTATATCATTTTCATTTATAATAAGGGTAAAATTGTAATTCAACTTTTAACTTTTTTGGTTCCCTCTTATAATAATATATGATACATGATATATGATTATCCACTTTTCTCTATAAACATCTCTTAGAGAAATTCTAAATAAAATAAAAATTGTAAAAGGTCCTAATTTCTATTTTTAAAAAAAAATACATCTCATTTATAATGATTGGTAAAGTGCCAATTCCATCCTCTCCTAGGTTGGTACAATTTCTTTTGTTTAAAGCTGTCGAAAGGAGATCGAGAATAAATAAAGGTAAACATGAGGACTTGTTATACTTGGTTACTTGATAAATAATTCAACTTATTCTATTTGTTTGTTTTTTTTTGAAAAATATAACGAGTAAATATATTTGAAATATTATTCGTTAATAGTAGTAAACTGATAAATTCATTATATTAATCATTATTTTCTTAATAGGTGTGTCAAGTCAAAATTTAATAAGTAAAAATGAATGAATGAAAAATATGATTAATGTAAAAATTAGATTTCGATCATGAGGATAGTTGTGCCTTATAATTTGAATTGAATGGAGTCCATTTTTTGTTGAGTAGTTTTAGGTGAGGAAGTGATTCATTGTCGAAACTTTTGTCCCTATTTCATGTAATGATAACGATGATGCTTGCTCTGAATTTAACTGCAAACCAAACATGGCACAATGATGAACTTTATGCATCAAAAATTCAAATTACTACTTATTTTTTATGTGTCAAAACTTCACATGGCAGGCTCCATATTATGATTTAGGATAATTACATCGGCTGTCTGTCTACTTTGACTCAAAACTTCTTTACCTCATATGTAATTCGAATTGACACGTAAGATATTTTGTCAAAATATTTTAATTTTTTTTAATTGGATATATTATATATATGATCATAAAAAAGAGAAAAAAAATTTTTTATTAGATGCTAAAATATGTAATATGTTAGTTTAAAAGAACAGATAAAATAATCAAGTTTAGTAAAAATTGGGTTGGCTTGAGTCTTGACCCGTTGTATAACTCATGATCTAACCTTTTCCGACCCAAGAAACTTGGATTGGGTTGGATCTTGATTAGATTATTGACTTAACTATCATGACGCACCTAAATTTAAACCAACCAGTCCAATTGTCACCCTTACCCAATGACTCCTCAAATAATTTCCATCATAGCAACTTTACTTTTTAGATATAGCAACTATACTTTTTAGATTTGCCAAAGAATATTTCCTATGTAGCTAGTTACATAATTGTTAGTTTCGTCCTCGGATTATTAATAGTTTTAAAAACAATTAGCTATATGACTAATTAAACTTAAATACACAACTCTCGTAAGTCTTATCATACACATAAATAGAAGTGTTATGCATGCACGTTCACATGAATTTTCTGTTGGTGTGACATATACATAAATGTAAGTCTTATCATACACATAAATAGAAGTGTTATGCACGCACGTTCACATGAATTTTCTGTTGGTGTGACATATACATAAATGTAAGTCTTATCATACACATAAATAGAAGTGTTATGCACGCTACGTTCACATA